ATGAAGTAAGGTGTCATCTGCAAAAAGCCTACAAGTTGAGGTCAGCTCATTTCCAATATCATCGATATAAAGTAGGAATAGCAAAGGTCCCAATACGCTTCCCTGTGGAACACCTCTGTTTATAGATTTCGAACTTGATTGTTTACCATTTACTACTGTAATAATCTTCCTATCGTTGAGATAACTCTTCAATCACTCTAACATCGAACCTCTAACTCCTTTACTTTCTAATTTTTTTTCGGTTGGTAAATACTGCTATAGGCGTCATCTATTTGTAGGAAGGCGTCTAAAAATTTCTTGATTATAGATGTGGGAGCAGATTTCTTCAGGACAACACGAGTTATCTTTGACCCATTTGGGATGAGTGACATGAAAAATGATTCTTTTCTGCGGCTATCTTGTTTAGCGATAAGCTTATAGTTAACAATATATTCACACTAAAAAACTTTTATTTGAACTAATAGCTATTCAATCGAAGCCATTGACACAGTGTCATAGTGCACTCGGAATGAATGGGAGTAAAAAGGTTTTTGACACTTGTGTGTCATCCATTGCTATGAGAATCAGAAGTGTTTGTTATGACCTTCTCCAGGTCATAATCTTCTTTTCTCTCTTCTTCCGTTTTCTATCTGTATGCGTATGCTTAATATTTTCCATTTACTTTTCTGACTTATAGAGTGAAAGTCCCTAATTCGAACGGACTTTTGACAAGTTGACCTGTTTTGATTACTATGAAGTTATTCCGAAAGGAACTATGAGTTTTTAACATATCTGAGTAGAGAAAAGTGAATCTAATGTTAAAAACAGAAACTAATTAGCTTAAAAATGAATGAGCTATGACCGGTAGAATGAATGAGGGTCTATCCGTTGTAATTAAGTGCACTTTCCCTAATCCAAACGACAGCGTATTTTTTCCCCCTAATTCGAAAGGACGCATCAAATACACGAGAGAAATAGAAGAAGAGAGAAAATGAGTTGTTCTTGTTATTCCAACTACTCAATCAAGCCAAAGTCTTGGAACAAAATATGTTTATCTTTCATAGACGAACCACTATGCAACGGTTCATCGAAAAATCTTTCCTAATTACGGAGATATTTATTAATCAAAACGAAGTATATCCGTTCAAATTAAGTGCAATGCCTCTAATTCGAACAACAATGTGTTTTTTTCACCCAATTCGAACGGGTCCATTGATGTACATAAGAAAATAAAGGAGGGTTTGATAAAAATAGGAAGTTGGATAAACTAGTTATTAATTATAGCTGAAATTGCTTTTTCTTCATAATGAACTTTTATTAAATTGATACTAACTTGTCTAGACGTTTCAATTAATCGACACGTCTAGACAAGTGTTATTAATTTAAATAAAAGTTCATTACGAAGAAAAAGTAATTTCAACTATCATTCGATGATGGTACAATAGCACTAGTCATTTGTAATAAGTGATTTTTTGCAAGTTCTTCGTCGTACGTCTTTGATGCTGCTGTCGTTTCATTTATAACTTATTTTTTAAGGTTGTTCTTACTTCAATATATTCTGGATTTGGTAAATGTAAGTGTTCCCCACTTAGTTGTTTAAAACTATCGTTACTATCTGTATGAACATATGATTTACAATCATCAATTTCACATCACCAATAGGCAACATGTTTCCTTGTTGTTTTACTGACACGTTAAACATACATTAGCTAAGTTGTGCAAAGTTTAATTTGGATTTAGAGGAAACTCACTAGATGGTTATTAAGCTGGTCTCTCCAACATAAACTATTTTTGGTATAGTAACTCCTTAAACGTTTTCTATCGAATATTGAAAGTTGCAGGTGTCTACTCTCCATTTCAATGAATAATGGACTCGGTTGTAAGTTGAATAACTCCGGATAGGAAGCAGCTAGAGACCTGCAGTTTTCGACATTCGCAAGAGAATAATATTTTTTATCTAGAAATATCAAAAGCTGGTTGGTCAACAATTGACCAAGCAGGTGAGTTTTCGCTCGACATTTTGGGCACTGCCTTGCGAAAAGATTTCCCATTGGATTTGAAATTCTAATATAACCATTCGATAGAGAAATTGTTCTCTATCGATCTACACAAGGCCCAGCTCTTTAGCTTGTGCTGTTCAGAAGTTATTAGGGGTATGACAGTTCCATATCAACTCCTATCATAGGAACTTTTGAAAGGAGCTGACATGTTCGAGCAGCTCACTAGTCGTCTGGACAAAGTTTAAACGTCCCGAATGTTCATTAGACGTTCATATCAGCGAAGTCCTGCAATCATAAATAGAAGCATGTAAAATGGTCAATTTTTTATTCCTCAGATAAGTATGGTTAAAAAGTAAAATAAAAGAAGTATGATCTGTGTAAGAAAAGCAGACTAAAGAAAAGATTAAAGTTTATCTTTTAGGAACATTGAATATTTCAAGTTTTTAGCTGAGGAAGAAGATCGTGTTTTTTGAGCAACATAGCCTGCGATTGAGAATGTGCTCTCACTGGGGTCTGAGGTTGCGGGTATAGGACCGAATCGACGTAGCATCTGGTCCGATATTGGAAGTAAAGTTGAATGTTTTCTCCAGAATGACGCAAATGTATGACCGTTCTTCTCCAGTGCTTCGAGTTGAGCAAGCTCTTGCTTCAGCATGAAAGCTTTAGCAGTAGTCGTAGAAAAAATTTCAAAAAATTTCAATTTTTAAAAATTCAAAAGAGCTGTTCAAACATATCAGCTCCTTTCAAAAGAATTGTTCAACAGTTCTTTCGCTCAAATGAGCTGAACTTATGAACTGGAACTGTTACAGGTCTAGAAGTTATAGGCATTTTTCTGAGAGCCCCGATTTTGGCCAGCTGACCTTGGATTAGCCCAAGGAACCTTGAAACATAGGTAATCGACCATGCTGAGTCGATTTGTGATGTTTATTTTCAGTTTCGAAGCGACTGAAACCATTAAATTGAATATTTCTAAAATTTTTATTTTCGGGCGCTATGTAGCGCTATGCGGCGTATTAAGTCTATATTTCAAAAAATTTTAATCTAGTGAATTATAATTTTTTGAAATATAGACTGTTGGAGAGACCAGCTTAATAACCATCTGGTGAGTTTCCTCTAAATCCAAATTAAACTTTGCACAGCTGCATTGCAGCTAGGGTGATTGTTCTTTCTTCAAGGACGACAAAGTGACCGGGCTGTGAAGATTTAACTCGATGCGGTCTTAGGTGTCCATCCAACTTCTCAGTGATAAGCGAAGTGTAGGCTTCCAAACCTTTTTTTTAATAAAAAATTACATTTGAAAAAGAAAGAGAGATATCAAATTTTCTTTAATACATTGGTTATATATTCTTGTTTGAATAAATAATTAATGGATGTAATGATTTTTTGGAAACAAGACTAAAACAAGTATCTTTCGACGAAAACGTCAGCATCTAAAGTGTACGACGGTAGCAAAGATGGAAAAATCAAATAAACATAAAGACTATTTTATATGGACAAAACTTGCTCTATCAGGTTCAGTTCCGCTAATGATCGCTATCTTCACAGTCGTCACCTACATACAACAACAACAAATTGCTGAATGTCATCGACAACAAGAACAACAGGCAGCAAATGAAACACGACAAAAAGATTTACAAATAGCTTTTGCTAATTTAGAAATAGCTAATCAAACACGTATACAAGATCAACAAATTATTAATAAAACACGCATACATGATCGACAAATTGCTGAAGAGCAACGTTTAGAAGATAAACAACGACAAAATGATTTACATTATCAAAAACTTTATGCTTATTATATTGAAGATATATCAAATGTTCTCTATAAACAAAACCAAAATCAATCGTTTATTGATGAACGAAAGAAACTTCTATATATACGCCGTAAAACAATAATGACTTTAAGGAAAATTAATAATGAACGTAGAACACATTTATTTATATTTTTATACGAGAATAATTTGTTGCCACGATTTAATGATAATTCAACATTGGATCTGTCCGGCTCTGATCTTAATCATATTCATATTGAAAGTTCTGTAACAATTCGTTATACTTTTCGAAAATTAGTACTAGAATCTGTTAATCTCGTAAGTGCATCATTTATCGATTGTAGATTTTCTGATAGTGTCGACTTTACTGGATCAGCAATGTCTAATGTTAATTTTACTGGTTCACGATTTGAATGTACTACTGCCGATACACTAAGTATTTTTGATCAAACAAAGTTAGAACATGTAGATTTTAATAAAACAAATATAAGCCATATTAAGTTTAACGATGCTACACTCTCATACGCACGTTTTAGTCACTCGACACTGTCAAATTTTCATATCGTATCTGTTAATCTCGTAAATACATCTTTTATTAATTGTACGTTTTCGGATGGCTCACAGTTTGTTGGATCATTAATGACTAATGTTAATTTTACTGGTTCATCTTTTCAATATGGTAGTACAGGGTGCCACTAAATAAACGGAACACTTACATCTATTAAACTCTTTTTCTCTACAAATTTTTATTCAAAACCTAGCAAAACAACAGAAACAACAATAACTGCATCTCTCAAATTTCGTTTCATATTTATACTAAAAAATAAAAATATAGTCAAATTTGTTGAGAAAAAGCGTTTAAAACAAGATAGATGTAGGTGTTCCGTTTATTTAGTGGCAGGGTGTATAGAAACTATCTTCGATGACTCAACGTTAGACCATGCTGATTTTCGAAAAACAAGACTCTCCTGTGTGATTTTCAAAAAGGCAGATCTTTCATATGCAAACTTCAGTGAAACTATATTTTATTTCGTTCATTTTACATCGAAAACATCTCTCATTTATTCTGATTTTTCTCGGACGGCTTTTTTACTTGACAATATCTTCATTAATACAAACCTTACAGGTTCTACACTGAATATTAAACAAAAAAAATATTTCACTTTACAATTTAGTATTACAAAATGGAACATGGTTCATTGATGGGTAAAAATTTAGTGAAAAACGGCGATGCTGAAACAAATGTAAGTACAGTAAATGTCTTACTTGTCAAAGCAGCTTTACTATCTATGTATTGTCACTGTTATGACAAAAAAATTGCTGGTGAAACAGCTAAGCATGCAACAGTACCGTCAAAACCAGTCAGTATTAGGAAATTGGTGGCACAGTGAATTGATAGTGTGTCTGACGCATGCTTTTGACATGTTTTAAAGTAAGAAGGAAGCAAAGCTTACGTATATGTCTTTGAGCAATTAAACTTAACAACTTTTGAGTTTCATATTGGAGTTTTGTATAGGTTTTCGAACTTATCCTTCTCAAATATTAGCGTTTCTTGGATCTATTAAAGGCCGATATTACATTTTTTCGGAATATTAATCGTATTTCAGAGAGATTCGAGGAATTTAAAGAGTTCCATAGACTTTAAGGCCTATTTGAAGCCTATCAAAGGGCTATTTTCGGCCGTTTTTCAAAAAAAATAAACGGCGAGCTTAGGGCCAGGCGGTATCGCCATGAAAACCATCCTAACAAGCCTGTTCGTGGGCAGTTAGCGATGTAAAACGTATATATGCAAGCTTTGTGTTTTACTTTCTTTCAAACATGTCAAAAGCATGTGTCAGAAATATTACCAGTTCACTGTGCCACCAATTTTCCAGTATCGAATCGTACCAGTAGTGGCACTATTGCATATGTAGAAACAGCTGCAGTTTTAGAAAACATTCGCAAAGGTTAGAGAAATTCTCTTTTGAAAAAAACTTACTAAAACATACAGAAAAACCCTATTTTTACTAGAAAATGTTTCCGCGAAAACGTTTGTGTTTGACAACTCTCTCACTTTGTCTCAGGCGCTAACCGCATCCTCACATTAAAAAAGATGCTTTACGCTTACGGATCGAATAAACTGCTCGTACTGCTCTAAGTGAACAGATCCTCATTTTGCAGAGGTTTATTTCTAACACAAATCATTCCATCGGATCTTGGACTACCAAGTGTAAGGAAATGCTCATAAATATAGAGAGAGATTTTACTGCGTGTGTGGTTTTGTTTTGCTTAAATTCGCAATAAGTTTTTGATTTCTCTACAGTGTTTATCATCTAAAAAATTGCTGGATGGGAAGTGTCACCAAATAATGGAGCAGTAGCTTGGAATATTCATCAAAATCAAACAATGATTAATGATTCAACAAATCTTAATTTTGGGAATTGTTATTTCACTTCAACAATGAATTTTCTTGATGATTACGGTTGGATGAGTCAAGTAATTGATGTTAGCAACTATTCATTACTCATTGAGAGTGGTGAATCCCAATGTAATTTCTCTGCAACGTTTGGTGGAAGTTGTGATGACGATCAGGTTGTTATTTATTTAGATCTTCTGGGTGCGAAGAATCTATTTACTCGAGACGATATTAGTAGCCTAGGTGAGTCTAAATGATCAAACATCTCTAATGATCATATACTTACTTTTCTATTATTGTCTCTTTTTAAGATATTTCTGATGACGAAACACAATGGCATCACATTGAAACAGTGAACGTTGTGCCGAAATACACAGACTGATTATATGTAGAGATACAATTCAAAAATTTTACATGCTATTGTGATAATATTGACGTACACATAGAAAGATATAAGTCAAACTAATTTGATTACGGCTACTTTCTTATTCGTTTCAATTATGCCTTATGATTGAATTTCAACAAAGTCATCTTGTAGTTAGCACGAATGTGAGATTGGATTTAAAAAGACTTGTTAAAATTCTCTATCAAAATAGTTTTTGTGCTGTTGCTTTTCTTTCTAAAAATAGTTTTATCTATTCACAGAATAATAACGTTAATCACTCGCTCACTTTATTCTAGTACATGATTCTTCTTCTGTGACTGAAGACATAATTGATTTTTTTCCTTGTTTTATCACAATAAATGGCCTATGTTCTTAACGAATGCAGCTGTGGCTAAACTGTATTGAACTTAGTCACTTCTCTACCTGTTTTAGTCGTCACTGTGAGCCTTCTTGACGGAATAATATCGAATCATAATCCAGTGCTTTAAAATACCACATAGTTTTAGCTATTTCATTTGGAAACAAAAACCAAGCAGCAGAAATAGCCAAGTTAATCGGACACGGCAATCAGATAGACCATACTGAATGTCATTTGAATCTAGTACTTAAAATTTTGCACCTGTCCAAAGATGTGGACTTAAACTAACTCTACTGTAACACTCCTTTTTCAATTGTTCATACGTCGATCGATAGAGGGTATCGGATCAGTAAAAAGCCTAAAAGGGTTCGTGCCAATGACACTTGAAGACCCAGTTTTCTGGAAAACTAGTTTTTCAGAAAGTCTGAAAAATAATCAAAACCTTTTATTAGGGAGACATGATTGTAGCCCGCAAATTTCTGATTAAAATGAGACATCTCTCAGCTCTATACGATCTTTCTTTGCAAAGTAATAGTATTTACAAACTGCAACTTAGTATTACAAAGTTGATGATAAATTATATTGAGACAAAAAAGTGTTTTTTTCATATGTATACCTTTTTTATATGGGGTTTACTCAAGGAGGACACTTGGGTTGGGTTTACCACATTTTTCCGTTTTACACATTGCCAACAGATGTATCTTGTACAAGACCAATATAGAATAACTACATTGTCCCAATCGTGTGGGAGAGAAAACCATAGAACTATTATTACATATATCAGCCACTATAGTAGTGTAGTCCATTCCTTGTTTGATGTTGCAGTTCGATTTTTTAGATAGGTCATATCCAGGGTGTCCCAAAAAATCTTACCCTCTCTGTGTTTATTAGCTTCCTTATGTACAAATATAATTGAACTTTTGTCGAATTAGGCAAAGATTTCCGAACAAAATGAGACGCTTCTGAGCTCTCTAAGAGCTTTTCTTATGAAACAGAATTCAACTTACGGAAGGTCCCATACCACCGAAATCGGAACAATTAACAGGAAAACAAGAAAAATACGCTCTTGGGGCTTTCTGTAAATTGAATACTGTTTGATGCGAAAACTCTTAGAGAGCTCAGAAACGTCTCATTTTGTCGAGAAATCTTTGCTCTATTCGACAAAATCAATGATAAAAGTTCAGTGTAAGTAGTAACTAATACTTTAGCATGCGTTTTTCTGTTTCCATACTTTTGATCTATTACTTGTTTTGATCTGTACACTCCAAAACGGAGATGTAAGCGACCTAATATACCGTAAGTAAATTGGTGGAACAGAGCTGTCTGCTCTCAATATCTCTCTAGTTCTACTGTTATACAAGATTGTAATGCCGCTCTTATCTTATAATTCCATCAGAGATACTGTTTATCTAAGCTAATAAACAACAACAACAAACAAACAATCAAGAAAAGTGGACTAAGGACATAATTAGAATAGCAACAAGAACAATGTTTATCTTCGAAAACTTATTCAGACATGATCAGTTTTTTTCGTATTCAATCTAACATATTCATGTCACGGAATTCAAAAGGTGAGAAGACAACAGCATAATAAAATGAAACTAAAGAGCGCGATTAATACAGAATAGAAAAATGAATGAAAAAGTAGGACTGGTCATATTTTAAGAGTAATTTGCTATAAAATCATGAAAAACAGTACTAGGAGTGAAAGAGATACAGATTTTGATGCACCTGGATATTTGACCAAGTAAACGAAAACGACATTGCCGAAAAAATTTGTCAGTTTTAGAGAGGAACTTAATAACAAACAGTAGATACTATCACAGTTCATTATATGACCTTCGTAATCTACTCTATTCAACTGTTGTTGTTCTTGTTTTTGCTGGAATAATTTCACAATATTCTTCTGTTAAATTACTATTAGCAGGACCATTGATAGCCTATAAAAATATAACATTTTAGTCTGTGTGTAAAGAGGATAAAAAACTTACTTTTCCAAATCGATCAAATCTACTTCCATGAAATGGACAATCAAATGTTTTTTCTAATGGATTATATCTAACTAGGGCTTTTAAATGTGGACATATGGCTGAAAATTTATATAGAGTACCATTGGTATCTTTGTATACAGCTAATTTCCAAAGACCTTCTCTTATAATACATCCATCTCCCGGTTTTAATTCTTCAATATCTGGACAATCACCAGGTTTAACATAATCTAAATAACTTGGTATTGATACTTCTAAATTATGTTTAATATATTCTAACGGATTATGTGTCATTTTACGTGATGGACAATAAATATGTTTCCATGGATTTTTAATGCCATATATTAAATCTTTGATCAATAATGCTCCAATTGTTTGATTTGTCATACCTAAACATCAGAAGCGGTTGAGGTCTAGTTAGCATTAGAACACACCATTTGTAAATGAACGTCAGTTACGCAATATAGCAGCTAGGCACTGATACCAATTTTTCACTCTCGATCACTATGTTCTCGTATTTTATGTACAATTTTTTCAAAAATTTGATACTAAACGAATATATGTACAACCTTTGAATATATATAATGCTTGAAAAAAAATTGTAAAAAAGGGTAGTATGATAGCAGATATATTTCAAAATTTCTATTGAGTTTCTGAAGAATTCGACCAATATATGTACGCTATTTCGGAATATATGGCTAAAGAAGTTTCAAAGGATCTTTATTTGAGAAAGAAACGACTGTATTTTTGAATTTTTTTCCATTTCTCAAACTACCTGATCAGAAACTGTTTGAGGAGAAAAACAGTAATTAGCATGTTTTCAGTAGGACGACATTTTCATGTGTAGCTGTGAGAATGTAGAGAATTAATTTCTGTACTGAATAATTTGAAACGGTATGAGGGCACAAAAAGATGCTTCACTTTCGAAAAAAATACTAAATGATATTTATCGTTTTCAAGAACCAGTCGATATGGCAACAAGAACGGTAGAAAATGTAGTTTTCTACGTTTTTGTTCCCACATTCACATGCAGAGTGAAATACTTTTTGTTGAAAACAAGCAGTAATTGCCGTTTTTCTCAAATTAGTCCTCATTTCCTGACTAATTACCACATTTCAAATATGATAGTTTTAATTCTCCACATTTGTGGGTCTTAAACTGGTGGCAGACAAGTGCTTCCCTTGACAGAGAATGCTACGTACTTTTTCCTTTTCAGATAGTTCCATCGATGAAACAGTTTTCCGCCTTTGATACAGATCTTGCAGTTTTCACATCAAATTTTTTGGAAAAATTGCAACTGAAAGGGCGGATTGATCTCACCGAGAACTATTCGTGGTAGGGTGTTAGTTTGGCGTTATTGTTCATTTATAAAAAAGTATAATAATAATAATATAAAAATATAATATAAATTCATATTAAATAATAAATTCATCATTTATATTTAAAAAATACAGATAAATGGATCATTTGTTTTTGAAAAATAAAGGCAGAATAAAGAAATAAAGATTCTCTTTTATGGAATATATGTAGTAGATGTGGAATGTTCTAGGACCACAGAATTTGTTCTTAATCAGACGAAGTACTTTATTCAGAAGATATTTTCTGTTTGAAAACAACTGAACTAAAGACAGCTGAAGACAAAGAAATAAAGATGAAATAAATTGCTGGTATTCTCCTTCTGCGATCATGTGTTTTTCCCCGGAGCTTGTTTTATTCAATCTTCAGTAAAAAAATCCGACTTTCTCCTGTAGTATTTGTGAGCGTTCATTTGAAAACAAAGTAGCTGATATACGACAATTTTAAAACGACGTTAATTTTTTTTGAAAGGAACCAGTGTTCGAAGATAGGGCTTCCGACACTCGATCAGGGCATGGCAGGCCTGTGAAGGAGCATCTCAGACAGATCTCTGATCGCGAAATCAGGCTTCAATTGCATCAACGATGACATACTAAGATTTTCCTGCTTGCTAATTCACTTGAAAACAGCAAAAAGAAAATCTTTATCTGTTGATTTTACCTTTAATTTTTAAAGACATAAGACTCACTTATCTTGATTTTCAAAAATAAATGATCCATTTATCTTTATTTTTTAAAAATAAAGTTTTTTCATTTATTGGCATTTATTTTCTAAAATTACACCAAATTACTATCCCTAATTGGTAGCGATACGTGCGATTACCCACTGTTGAAATTTTTCGTTGGTACGCACGAGTTTTAAAAAATCCTGTAGATGTCTGATATATTCTACACGTTTTCACAACATGCTGTCCTGCTGAAAATTTTCCTCCGCCGGCTGGATATATCTTGCACAACTTTTAACTCCCTGTTAGCACTCGCAGCAGGCTAGATCTCTTACGGTACTAACCCTGCAGGTTCTGCAGAATTTTATCCTAAAAAACAAAATCCAAAAGCCTGGTAATAAAACTATATTAGGTAGAATAATCATTTTTGGGTATTTACCTCAAGAATTTAAAAAAATTCATAACTTCATCAAAAGCGATCCAGATTACTTCAGAATACGCTCTATTTCCACGTTGTTTGTTGATAATAATTTCATAAAGGAAAAGATTAACTGTATAAGTTCAACAATCATTAATTTAAAACTTTTATTTAATACAGGAGCTTTCGATTACAACTGTAATCATCGTCAGCTACATTTAGACGAAAAACACTCACAGTACATATATATGTTCATTTGTTCAAATGTACGTTGTTCATGAACATATATATAAATATATGTAAGCTCCTGTATTAAATAAAAGTTTTAAAATAATGATTGTTGAACTCATACAATTAATCTTTTCCTTTACACTCTATTTGATCTGCGCTATACCGTGGAGTTTAGTAAACGGTTCTGAAATTACTGGAAAACACTTTAATTTTTGAAAAGGTTTTTTAGAAATCTTTCGAAGTAAGAGAGTACTTTTTAAGCTAATCTTAACTATAGAATCACATTGAAAAGATAAAGTGGAGTATATCCTAGTATTCTGGCCTATTCTGGATCATTTTTGATGAAGTTATGAATTTTTAAAAATTTTTAATGCAAATATTAAAAAAATGAGCTATTCCGCCTAACAGGTTTCAGCTGATTTAAGGATATTGTTCTGGAAAGTATCATTGCCGTGAGACTCAACGTAGTCGATTAACTATGTTTCCATTTATTTTCGAGCTTCTTAACTTGAAAATAACGAAGATAAGTAGGCTCTAGCAAAACCGGTCCTCCTCTGAGTCTTGATAGCTGGCAACCTCGGACTTGCGTAGGTCGATAGAGAACAGACTGGACTCTATTCTCCGTCAGCAAAAGATAGATACCGATAGAGAAACTCACGGAACAAAAACTAACTTTTTTAAAAACCGATGTAAACGCTGGTGTCTGAGCCCTCAAAAGCAGCTTAAAGTGTCATGGTAAAAACTACTGATATAGTCACGTGTCTTCTTTTTTTAACAAGACAGTAAACTAACTCATTATCTTCTCAAATCAGTTATCAGCGGATTGATGTTTATTTCGACACCAAACGCTCATATATCGAGGATAGGAGTGGTGATGCTTAGGAAAGAAATACAGGGATTTTCAATCAGAGTAAGAAAGTTTTTTCTGAATCTGATCTCCCATACTAGAATCTCACTTATCTGGTTTCAAGGACGAGATAGTCAGTACACCAATTACCTGTGCCTGAATCTCCTGTTATTATATAAACATTTTTATTTCCTGGATTTAATCCTAAAAATGGTAATCTATCAATTGGTTCGATAACTTGTCCCGACCACCTGTAACGTAATTTGCCAGCAACTGGAAATTTTTTTCTTGCCAGATCTTCTAAATCAGTATATCTGTCTTCGAATTCACCAAGATTGTGACCCGTTAAATTATCTTTCCCACCAACAATTAATAATTCTTTCCCACTTTGAGGATTTGTATCATCATCTGTTAAACGGTGATAATTGTATGGCTTATCTGTATCCCAATATAACGCACGTGGAATAATGCCCTTTTCAACTTCAAATGCCTTAAAAGAAAAATAAGCATACGTGGGTCAATCGTTTCTACTACTATACACAATGAAGTCTACTTACCATTGCGTACGTTCTGTACTCCGCCATTTTTGTATACATTGTAATTCGATCATTAATCGGTGCATATGTACCCAAAACAATTTTTTTTCCATCCACTCGTTTTCCTTCTGATGTTATCACATACACACCTTTGTCAGATTCATCATCAACAACTTCATTTACGTGAGTATTTGTATAGATTTTACAATTTTGTAATTTTTTTGTAAGAATTTGGCTTATACCAAATAAATATTTTAATGGATGAAATTGACCTTGATTTGAAAATTTCAGCCAATGTGGTGACGGATAATCAACAGGATAAACGGGTAACTGTTCTTTGGAGTCCAGTAACTGAACGGTCATGCCTAAAAAAGAAACTTGATATTTCTTTGTACCGTCAACGTAGCAGAGAGTTTTTACACAATAAGAAATGTGCGGTCCTATACAGATCTATGAACTACATAGACCTGGACTGTAGGTTTATTGAAATTAGGCAGTTTTGCTCAAAATCGGCCGCTTGATTGGCCAATAACTCAGCCATTTTTCACTCAAAATCAATGAAATTTTACTTCTGGGTAAAAAATGATGTTAAACTACTTTCAAATTTTTCCAAAACCTCTCAGAGGGTTTGGATCACCCAAATTTTCTCAGAAAACTTTCGATCGATAGAGAATCGTATTCTGAACAAAAGTGAGTTCGTTTCGACCTTTCTAATCAAGAGAAATGTCGATAAACCCAAAAACTGGGTTCGAGGAACATTTCTCTTGATTAGAAGGCTCTAGGAAGGTCGGAAAGAACTCATTTTGTTCAGAATTCAATTCTCTATCGATCTAAAGTTTGTGGAGAAAATTTGGGTTTTGAGACAGTTTTCTGAAGATCTGATCTCTGAGAAACCCTGTAGAAGGTTTTGGAAAATTTTAAAACTAGTTTAATCGGATTTGACATCATGTTTTACTCAGAAGTGCAAAGTCATTGATATTGAGTGAAAAATAGCTGAGTTATTGGCTAATCAGGCGCCCGATTTTGAGCAAAACCGCCTAATTTTCATTAAACATTCAAGATCTCGAGAACAAAAAAGATATGGAGATAAATCGAACGTACTTTTGTTGCGCGACTTACAGCGGTTCGAACGGCGTAAGAATGAAGGCTCTATCACTTCACACAAAAAACTAGATGGGTTCGCAAGATGACCCTCTCTGGGTTTTGGCGCCCCCATTTTTAATTTCCATCAAAATTTCAGATTTTGCGTTAAAATTTTGAAAGATAGTGGCCTATAATCAGTTTTTCATGCTGATTCCAAATAACACCACCGCAACCGTCCACGATACTCAGGAGTTGAGATATCCATATTTTTCTAAAAATGGAAGCTTTTTATAAAAAAAAGAGCCCCTCTCACCATTTCGAATTTTCTTGCAGGAAGACGTGCACTAAAAAGACTCGCTTGGCTTCCGCTCTATAAAGCCATGTGTAAGTAGAATAAAAATAAAATTTTGTGAAAAACTTCGAGTTACGCGCGCCTTATACGCAAATACATTCTACATAGAGAAGGAAGAAAGAAACACGTGAATGCCTTTTTTGCGTAAAGTTTCTTTTATATAGCATGATAGAAGAAAGTGTGCTCTTCAAAATGAGATGTATTCCAGAATTTTTCGATGAGTTTTCTTAGAGATATAAGCATAGTCGCAAATGTCCTGAAAAACAGAGTCCCGTGTACAATATGTGTTTTTCTTACTATACATTTTTTCAATAGTCCCTTCAATTGACACACATTACGACCCCTCGATAAAATGATCCGATCGAGCTCAAAATTTTACCACAGATACTTCGAACCGTATCTCAGGTTCGTTTCCTGAGCTGTTATCGGAAATGTATTTCAAATCATGTGGCTCGACCATAGATGACTGCGGACGACAAAATTCGAGTTTTGGAGAAAATAGTAAATTATGAATATATTCTGAATGATTACACAATACGTATACGTAAAGCGATATTCTCATATTCTCCTGAGTATTTCTAGATAAATTGTGAAGGTTTCACCCATCTTCGTCAGCTAGAAAAGCTTTGTATTTCAATTACTG